TGCATTTGTTACAGCTCTTATCAAAATTTCAATGTAACCCATGTAAAATTCATCTGAGATCTTCAGAGTTAACACTGAGGATGGTTTGGGAAAATGCCATAGTCATCTAACTTTTTTCTTTTAAATCAAGCTGCGTCCTCTTTCTCCTCTCCCCATCTGCCCCCATCCCTGCTAGATGAGCTTGGGGCAGAGGGCGAAGCTGACCTGCACCCCTGATGTGGCATATGGAGCCACAGGCCACCCCGGTGTCATCCCTCCCAATGCCACCCTCATCTTTGACGTGGAGCTGCTCAACTTAGAGTGAAGGCAGGAAGGAACTCAAGGTGGCTGGAGATGGCTGCTGCTCACCCTCCTAGCCTGCTCTGCCACTGGGACGGCTCCTCCCGTTTGGGGCTCTTGATCAGTGTGCTAACCTCACTGCCCCATGGCATCATCCATTCTCTCTGCCCAAGTTGCTCTGTATGTGTTCGTCAGTGTTCATGCGAATCCTTGCTTGAGGAAACTTCGGTTGCAGATTGAAGCATTTCAGGTTGTGCATTTTGTGTGATGCATGTAGTAGCCTTTCCTGATGACAGAACACAGATCTCTTGTTCGCACAATCTACACTGCCTTACCTTCACTTAAGCCACATACACAAGGTGCTCAGACATGAAATGTACATGGCGTACACAGAGGGACTTGAGCCAGTTACCTTTGCTGTCACTTTCTCTCTTATAAATTCTGTTGGCTGCTCACTTAAACAATGTCCTCTTTGGAAATATGTAAAATAAAGGCTCTGTGCTTGACAAACTCCTGTCCATCCTTATTTTAGGTAGGAAGTGCTCTGTGGACCACACAAGCCAGTTGCCCCTGGGAAAGAGTGGAAAGGAAGCAGGGTTCCAAGTGGCTAGGCGAGTGATAAATATAATAGCTACAATGTGAGCATTTTACATGCTGGGCCTTGTTCTACATACTTTTTTATTTTTTTATTTATTTGAGATGGCGTCTCACTCTGTCACTCAGGTTGGAATGCAGTGGCACAATCTTGGCTCACTGCAACCTCCGCCTCCTGGGTTCAAATGATTCTCATGCTCACCACAACGCCTGGCTAATTTTTGTATTTTTAGTAGAGACAGGGTTTTGTCATACTGACCAGGCTGGTCTTGAACTCCTGACCTCAAGTGATCTATCTGCCTTGGCTTCTCAAAGTGATGGGATTACAGGTGTAAGCCACTGTGCCTGGCTGTATATAGTTTTAAATTATTACCATCGATCCTCTAAGCAACCCTGCAAAGTAGATATTACCTGCCACTCATCTCAGGCTCAGAATCCTCCTCTACATAACTAAAGAAATATAGGCTCCAAATCTTGTAGCTTAGCAATCAGATGTGGGATTTGAGCACCTTATGTGCTCTTGCAATCTTTGTTTGGACTACAGCCAGAGGGATGAGCCCCACTCACCCAGATGGAAACAGAACACTTTGTGCGTCCAAACAAATAACGGTGTATTAAGGGCTTGAAGTCATATACTAACTCACACTGGGAAGTTCCTTGTGAAAACAATGTGTGATTCTGAGCTTGTTTTCACATACACTGCTTAGTTTCACCTAGATTTGTTCTGACTTACACTGAGGAATTACTTTTGGGAAAAACGTATGATTCTGAACTTCTTTCCACATATAGTGCTTATTTCATCAACATTTATTGTAACTGACCAGAAACACCAGTTAGGTTTTAAAATCAACCCACTTATTGGTATAGGTTATGTATAGGTCAGAGGAGCCTGGGGCAATGTGCTCAAACATTTTTCTCTTTTTTTTTTTTTTTTTGAGACGCAGTCTCACTCTATTGCCCAGGCTGGAGTGCAGTGGGTAATCTTGGCTCACTGCAAGCTCTGCTTCCTGGGTTCACGCCATTCTCCTGCCTCAGCCTCACGAGTAGCTGGGACTACAGGCGCCCGCCACCACACCCGGCTAATTTTTTGTGTTTTTAGTAGAGACGGGGTTTCACCATGTTAGCCAGGATGATCTCAACCTCCTGACCTTGTGATCCGCCTGCCTCAGCCTCCCAAAGTGCTGGAATTACAGGCGTGAACCATTGCGTCCAGCCTCAAACATTTTTCTTTCAGTTGGTATAGGGTGAGAAAAACTCCTGGCCATAGTTGGGGTTATTCTTTTTTTTTTTTTTAAGCATTTATTTATTATTTAAAAAAAATAGAGATGGGGGAATCTCACTATGTTGCCCAGGCTGGTCTCGAACTCCTGGCCTCAAGCTATCTTCTCTCCTCAGCCTCCCAAAGTGTTGGGATTATGGGTTTAAATTACTGCACTCAGCCAATAGGGTTTTCTATCAGTGACAACTTGGAATTGTTTCAAGATTGAGGAGGGAGGGGCTAGTAACAGGTACTGCTAGTGTCCCTCATAGACCCACTGATACATGTCACATGATGTCATATACATGCTATGAGGCCATATCATCTTGGCTACATGATCTACCTTTTTTGTCTCCAAGAAATCCTGGCTGTATTCCTTTGCTGAGGGTGGAGGAGCTAATGAAGAAGCAGAGGTTTAGGACGCACAAAATAAGAGAAAGGAACTGCCTTGCATTTTAGTCACCCAAAGTCCCTGTGCTCACCTCTACTGTGGGACTAGACCAGCCAGAAGGTATTTCCTTCAGAATGTCTTGGTTCCTGACTTTCTTTGATGACACAAATGCCTACAATAATTTCTTAGAAGTCAGCCTGCATAAAAGACATATGCATATTTTCTCCTGTGACACCAATAACTAAATATAGCATCAAGGACTATTTCAGGTGCCCACTATGGGGCATATAAAAGATCTTGGTCTAGAGTATTTATAGCTGAGGTGGGTCAAAGAAGACACCCACTAAGAGAACTCCCCCAAAAGTGCAAACATACTGGCTAGCACCTGGAGAGGACAGACTAGGCTCTGCAGGTAAACTGGGAAATGAAACATTTTACTGAAGCTTTAAAAGATGATGCAGAAAATTATGATGCAGCATACTAATGAGTTTGGACATTGGCCTGTGAAAGCCACTAAAGTTGTTAAACAGAAGAGCAATAATGAGATCAAGGTCGCCGGGCGCGGTGGCTCAAGCCTGTAATCCCAGCACTTTGGGAGGCCGAGACGGGCGGATCACGAGGTCAGGAGATCGAGACCATCCTGGCTAAGAGGGTGAAACCCTGTCTCTACTAAAAAATACAAAAAACTAGCCGGGCGAGGTGGCGGGCGCCTGTAGTCCCAGCTACTCGGGAGGCTGAGGCAGGAGAGTGGTGTAAACCCGAGAGGCGGAGCTTGCACTGAGCTGAGATCCGGCCACTGCACTCCAGCCTGGGGGACAGAGCGAGACTCCGTCTCCAAAAATAAAAAAAAATAAAAAAATAAGATCAAGGTCACGTCAGTTGTTTTCAAACTTTCAGTCAATGAATTCTCTATTCATACAAATTTTTTCTTAGAAACTCAAAAATTTAACCTAGATGAAAGTCAAGCAGCTCTGGCACACATATGTGCACATATAAACACAGTCATCGGTTGCACTCTTAAAAGCATTTGAAAAACTGAGCTTTGGATGCCTTGTGCAAAGGACTGATCGTAATTATATCCTCAGCATCTTGGTGCAGTACTGTGTGCAGAGTGGGGGGTCAGTGTTTGTCCACTGAGTGCAAGTTCTTGTAACTTAATTGGGACAGGATATGGAATTTCCAAATTAGAGGGAAGTTTTAAAAGTCTTAACTTTAGGTCACGAAATTCAGCTAACATATATCAATCCAAATGATGGACTGGTCATGATTGCTAATAGAAGGAATTTCTCCTTGTTATTAAAACAACTACACCAGAGGCAAACTAGCCTGCCACTTAGACAAATCACACTCTAAGTTTTAAAGTCTAATTTCAGTTTTTCTCTTACAAGAAAGTCTTTTAGAAAATTCTTTTTACATTACCTAAAGGCACAACATGCATTACAAAAACCAATAATGCACTCATAAAAGCATTCAAAAGAAAATTACAGCTCTGGCTCCTTTCTTATCTGCCCACCCTTAGAAATGACTCTACTCTCTTACACTGCTTTCAAAAAACACTCAGATACAATTAAAAGCAGAATTGATGCTCTTTGTCCATTGAAATGATTCAGTGTATGTACCCTTCAAATTGATTTTAGGTTCCAATTACACACAAAACAATTAGTCCATGTTTTCCCATTTGGTCCATGCCTAAGCAATAAAAAGCAAATCATTGCTATATTCTCCTAAGCTGCCATGATGATGAATGGGGTAATAACCATACTATTTCCATGTCATGGGAACTTATGATAATAAGAATGAGCATTAAGTATTTTATTTATGGTAAAGATATATTATGAACTAAGGTCCAAAATATATACAGATGCTTAATAACTAAAGGAAAAGGCTACATAAATACAATCTTAGACATACAACAACCAACACCACTACCCAAGCAGCTTGCTCTCAAATTTCTACCAATGTGACAACCATTATGTACCCATAATAATTTTTTAAAAAATTTAAAGAGGCAAATCTAAGTTTCTAACAATGTACTATCATCTAAGTGACCATTTCTATAACAGACCTCTGTTCTAAAGACAAGGGTACCCATATTGACAAAGGTGTTTTGTTAACTATAAAGCAAGCATTATTCACATGTAAAGGCTTTGTTAATAACTGGTTGTTATCACATCAGCTTTGTATGTTAGCATTTTATTCATTCAACCAATATCATGAGCTTTGGTTTCCTCACCTGCAAAATGCAAATACCTATCTTCACTGAGTTGTTATGAAGGTTTAATTATTAATAGACATTCAATAAACAGCAAGTTCCTTTGATGGCTAAGCATTGCACTGGGCCCTGGAGGCATTAAGAATTTACATTAAGAAGTCCTGTTCTCAAGAAGCACAGAATCCCTAGGAGCACCTACAATTGTTGATAAGCTTCGACTGTTTTTTCCTGGTATCAAACAGGAAGGGAAAGTTCAAGAGAAAAGATTGAGGTGTTTCACAAAAAGCTGTAAGTTTATTAACACAATGTATTCTAATATGTATCAAAGTTTCAAGTAGGTCATGATGAATCTCAAATTAGAAATCACAATATTTAGTATTAATTAAAAAGGAAAAAAAAGTGGAAAATTGTCATTCATGGGATTTAGTCCAAAATGAAAACGCAGAAAACATTTATTTTGGTGGATCTGTGTTGATGCCATATTTCTCCTTGAGAAGCTTCAACTGTTCCTCCTTTTTCTTTGTGTCCATCTTCTGAAATGCCTGGAAATGTGGTAAGCACCAAAATTAAATTACCAATCTATAGCCAAATGAATTTCATCAATAGCATTAGCCAAAAAACAAAGTCACAGTAGACATATATCATCACAGTACAGTTCTACACTAATTCTCAAATGACATCACTACACAATGAGAACTTACTTACCCTGTTGGCATTATAGTACAAAACCACAAGGTATCTGTTACAAACATTGAATCCCGATAGGTGATCACATGCATTCTTGGCATCAAAGATGTCCTCATAGACCACATAAGCTGTTCCTCTAGTTTCAGGTGTGTTCCCCCTGGAGAGTTAAATCAAATTTAATTAAGATATACATTTACCAAGCATTGATAGTTGACTTACAGAACTGTCTTTTAAAAACAGTAAATTGAAATATGTTTTTAGTTAAGTATTTTGAAATCAACCTGAAACCATTAGAGGAAATAAACACGGATAGATATACTGGATAAACCTGTAATTTCTTGAATTAGGTAATTTTGCTTTTCGCTTTTATCTTAAGTAAAATATCTATGGGTCAAGCTGACTGTCACATCAGGAATACTAAGAACACAGCTACTACACAGAATAGCCTCGCGAGTTGTGGGGACTACAAGTGCTCTTGCCACCCTGACTGGCTCTACGATGTCTTTGTTTTGTTTTGTTTTTGTTTTTTTTTAGATAGAATCTCACTCTGTTGCCTAGGCTAGAGTGCAAGTGGCACGATCTCAGCTCATTGCAACCTCTGCCTCTCAAGTGATTCTTGTGCCTCAGCCTCCCAAGTAGCTGGGACTACAGGCATATGCCACCAAGCCCAGCTAATGTTTGTATTTTTAGTAGAGACAGGGTTTTGTCATGTTCCCCAGGCTGGTCTCAAACTCCTGACCTCAAGTGATCCGCCTGCCTCACCCTCCCAAGGTGTTGGAATTACAGGCATGGGCCAACACAAACGGTCTACATTCATTTTTAATACAACTCAAATGCTAATGCATGATACAGCTGTGTGGCTAAGGAGAAGGGCTAGGCTTCTGCGAAGATGGGAGTGGAAGTGTGCTTGTGGACAGGGTTATCTGTGAGCCAGGGCAGAATGCTGGACGGTGGCCGGAAGTGGAAGCTGACCTTACTCATGGATACGGGGTTGCTGTTAGTGTAGGTATTCCTGGCTACTTCCTTCCTTCACCTCACCAACTTCCTCTGGGAGAGGTAGAGAGGTTTGAGGAGCAATGGAACACTAAACTGCAGGCAGCAGATGGCCATGTGACTGTTAGTGGAGACAATGGGTAGAGGTCTCACTCAGTTCAGGCTCTGGGTGACAAGATGGCCCCCTTGCCTCCATCTGTGTTCCAACTACCCAGTGCAACTGTGGAATGAGGTTTAAGACTGTGGGCTGACTCTCCATCTGCCACAGTCCCTACATAGGGTTGAGTAAAAGCAGTGGAGCCATGGGAAGAGGAGGTAGCTGCCTAGACTTGATCTAGGACAGGACTATAGTCTGGGCCCTGCTCAAGCTTGTGCTTCCTGTAAAATTGAAAAGGTATAGGGTACTGCGGGTGATTGGAGGGTGCCACTGTCAATGAATGTGCTCACTTTGTCAGGTTGTGTGAGCCTGACAAGGGGTTTTAGAATGTTCTTTAGGCTCTGGGAAGTCTTAACAACTTTCAGACTTTTGACTTTTAAAAACTTAACAAGATTTTCAGTTCCTTAAGAGCAAAGGTGATCTTATGCATACTTCATTCACTCCTTTAGTGCCATGCATAAGGCAGATGCTAATATGCCTTTGAAAAGTGGAGATCTACTTTCTCCTATCAATTCTCTCACACACACTTTGTCCAGGAAGCTCAAAACAAAACAAAGCAACTCTCTTTCTTCCTCTTATATCTTCTTAGGAACTAGAATAGGGATAGACACTAACCCCACTTTAAAGACTCTTCATCTTAAGTTTCCCAGCCCTAATTATCAACCTCACACCTTGAGAGCCATACTATAATTTGAACTTTTAAAGGCATATATTTGTACCTACCACGTATTGGACACTGAGCTAACATTATTTTCTTATTTTTTTGAGACAGAGTCAAGCAATTCTCGTGCAGGCATGCGCCACCATGCCCGACTAATTTTTGTATTTTTAGTAGAGATGGGGTTTTGCCATGTTGGCCAGGCAGGTCTCGAACTCCTGGCCTCAAGTGATCCACCCGCCTCAGCCTCCCAAAGTGCTGCAATTTTCTTGACTGGCATTAAAATCTTAGAGTAGGAATAAGAACACCTAAGCATGTAACTTAGCCTCTCTGAGCTTCGGCTGCTTCACCTGTCCAGTGCCATCAGGCTCTATCACGTGCCCTACCTTCCATGTGGGTTTAATAATCAACAGGTAAGAAGTATAAAAGAGTTTTAAAAAATACAAAGTACCAAGTGTCTGCTACATGCCAGGTAGGGTCAAACCAAATCATCCTGATTTGATTGGGACTGTCCAGGTTTTAGCACTGAAAAGTCCAGTGTCCCAGAAAATCTCTCAGTACTGGGAAAACTGGGAAGGCTGGTCACCCTAGTGCCAGGTGCCAGGTATACAATAAAGCATGATCATAGTAATGGAACAGAAAAACAGCTGTTTCTCAATCTATAATTTAGACCTAAGCTCCTGTACCCTAAACTTCTATTAACCTATTCAACACATATAGACTATGTTCTTTCTGTGACAGGCACTAGAAATACAATAGTGAAAAAGACAAGCATCATCCCTTCCTTCCTTCAAGCTTATATTCAGGCAGTAGAAAGATATTACATAAATATGAAATCATTATAAATCTTTTTTGTTTGTTTTTGAGACGGACTCTCACTCTGTCACCCAGGCTGGAGTGCAGTGGCGCAATCTTGGCTCACTGAAACCTCCACCTCCTGGGTTCAAGCGATTCTCCTGCCTCAGCCTCCTGAGTAGCTGGGATTACAGACGCGCGCCACCATACCCAGCTAATTTTTGTGTTTTTAGTAGAGACGAGGTTTCACCATGTTGGTCAGGCTGGTCTCAAACTCCTGACCTTGTGATCTGCCCACTTTGGCCTCCCAAAGTGCTGGGATTACATGCGTGAACCACTGCGCCCGGCCCTGAAATAATTATAAATCTTAGGAAATGTTTCGGCTTGGCACGGTGGCTCATGCTTGTAATCCCAGCACTTTAGGAAGCCGAGGTGGGAGGATCACCTGAGGTCAGGAGTTCAAGACCAGCCTGGCCAACATGGTGAAACCCCATCTCTACTAAAAATACAAAAATTAGCCAGGAATGGTGGTGGGTACCTGTAATCGCAGTAACTCGGGAGGCTGAGGCTGGAGAACCACTTGAACCTGGGAGGCAGAGTTTGTAGTGAGCCAAGATCGTGCCATTGTACTCCAGCCTGGGCAACAAGAGCGAAACTCCATCTCAAAAAAAAAAAAAAAAAAGAAGTGTTTCATAAAAGAAGTAGAAAGCTCTGTAACAGATAGGGAAACAGGGAGCTACTTCAGCTAGGGTGGTCAGGGAAAACCTCTCTGAAAAGGTGACATTGAAGCTGAGACCCGAAGAATAAGAAGGAGCCAGGCATGAGATGAGCTGGTGAAAATTATTCCAGAGACAAGGAAAATAGAAGCACAAACGTTCTGAGCTGCTCTGCACTCTTCTTAAGATGCCCCTGCTTTATTCCCTGTCCTTTCATTTTGGCTTTCTGAAACATTCTCTAACTTCACTGATTTAAGCATCCCTTAATTGAGTACTATCAATAAACTTCATAATGCCTTTATAAACCAATCACAACCACTTTTTATATTATTATTCTATTTTCTTTTCTTTTTTTTGAAACAGGGTCTCACTCTGTCACCCAGAATGGAGTGCAGTGGTGTGATCTCAGCTCACTCACTGCAGCCTCAGCCTCCCAGGTTTAAGCGATTCTCCCACTTGAGCCTCCTGAGTAACTGCATTACAGGCACGTGCCACCATGCCCAGCTAATTTTTGTATTTTTTTGGTAGAGACGGGGTTTTGCCATGTTGGCCAGGGTGGTTTTGAACTCCTAACCTCTGGTGATCTGCCTGTCTTGGCCTCCCAAAGTGCTGGGACTACAGGTGTGAGTCACCGCATCTGGCCTCTTCTACTATTTTCTATATTGTTCATTTCGTATACATTGGGTGCTTACCATGTCTCGCACAAGGGCTATCAACACAAAACCAAAAATAATATATGATATGAGCCCTGGAGGAACTCACAGTCTGCCCAGGGTGACAGATGAGTATAGAGACAACAGCAAAACCACGTGTTAACCTAGGAGAGACACATGGAAATGCTACAGGAGCAGAGGAGTGGCTAATGTACACTGGGAAGGAAAACTGATAAAGTACCTTCACAGACACTGTCTAATTTCATCCAAACTAAAATTCTTTTAAGACAGTAGGTTAGGAAGACTATTTCATAGATAACTGAAGCCCAGATAAGGTTAAATATTTTCTCCAGTTTCACAAGAGTAGGCAAGCTAGTATTTTAACCCAGGCCTTAAAACCAATCCATGCTGTTTCCACATTAAAAGCTAAAAGGCCACCACCCAGATTATCTCATACATGAACAGAAAACCAAAAAATCTAGGCAACTAGTCACACACACGGCTAGTAACAAGGCCTGAAGTAGAATCTTGTCTCCTGATCCCCAAGTCAGGGATTCGCCATGTTGGCCAGGCAGGTCTTGAACTCCTGACCTTGTATACCATTCTTTATATATCTAGAGCAGGGTTTCTAAACCTAGAGTCCGTGTATCCCCTGAAATATATGCAACATGTGTGCGTTCTTCTGTGGAGTGGTCTAAAGCTCTTATCAGATGCTCAAAGGACTGAGACCTCCTAAAAAGGACAGCTGGTCTATAACACGTTCACTTTCATCCCCATCTGAGTACCAATGATCATGTATTTCCAGCTCTTGGTTTACTCTCTGGAGGGACCGTGTCATTCAAAAGGAGGGCCCTCAAGACCTAATAGTCCTAAAGCCAGGAAGGAGCTCTTAAGTCATACAACACAGAATTCTGACTAGAAATAAAAACTTTATATGTAGTCATTACCGGGGTAAAATAATACTTTTTTAAAAATAAAAGCTTTAGAAATCCTTTCAGATGGACTCTTAAGTCACTAGCCTTTTCATATGAGTTAGGGTATCAGGGGCTATATATGGTACTGTGTTATGCAGAGGTTCAATTTAGAGTCAGAAGAATTTATCACTAAGCACTGTAAGACTAGAAAGGTACTTTACTCTCAGGGCTATAGTTTTGTTGATCCAAATAAAAGCACTTTTTTTTTTGAGACAGGGGTTTTGCTCTTATCGCCCAGGCTGGAGTGCTGTGGCCGGATCTCAGCTCACTGCAACCTCCGCCTCCCGGGTTCCCGCCATTCTCCTGCCTCAGCCTCCCGAGTAGTTGGGACTACAGGCGCCCGCCACCTCGCCCGGCTAGTTTTTTGTATTTTTTTAGTAGAGACGGGGTTTCACCGTGTTAGCCAGGATGGTCTCGATCTCCTGACCTCGTGATCCGCCCGTCTCGGCCTCCCAAAGTGCTGGGATTACAGGCTTGAGCCACCGCGCCCGGCCCAATAAAAGCACTTATTATGGTTAATGGTATTCAGTAGATGTCCAGTAAATGTCACTTGAAGGTATGAGCCCCAATCTTTATATTAAAACATGAATGCTTGTAATTAGATGTTTTCCTCTATACTTTCAAATCTTCAGTTGAAAGAGCTGTAGTTGAAAATATCATTTTTTTCTGTTACTTTTATACTTTTTTACTTATTCAGAAATTCTGGAGTTATTTAAAAAGACAGTGATGATTGCTGAGAAAATTACAGAGCTACTGCATACAAAAAACACAGTGTAACAGCTAGCTTTACAAATAATGGGTAGGCAATAAATGTTAGTTCTTTCCCTTCTCAACCAGTTTCCTCAAAGCATTCATTACTACTTCAACGAATGCTTTGAGGAAACTCAAATCCTCTTCTTGGCTCTCATTGAGCTGGATCATTAGGGTCTCAGTAGGTTTTTTCCCTCCTTCAAAAAGATCTCATCTCTTTGATCTCAATCTGTTAGTCTCTAGGCTCTTGGTAAGGGTTGCTGCATCGCACACAACACAGGGTGGCCTCATCGTCAGCTAAAATTCTGATTACAGATTATGCTATCATTTTCTTTAAATGACTCAGTAAGACTCACACTCTGATTTGACGAATAGGTCCATATTTCCCAAATATATCATACATTTCTTCAGCTGTGATTTTGTATGGCAAATTTCTTATATACAATATCCGATTTACTTCAGGTGGAAGTCGAATCTAAAATGAGAAATATGTATTGTTGTTATAATTAGGGGCAGAAGTGCTACCATTTAAAAAAATTCTTAATGATACATAATAATAAGCCAAGAATAAGAGGTATAATTTGATGTTTCTGAAAATGGGAAGATCTTTGAAAAAGCAACAAGAGACTGGGTGCAGTGGCTCATGCCTATAATCCCAGCACTTTGGGAGGCCAAAGTGGGAGGATCACTTGAGCCCAGGAGTTTGAGACCAGCCTGGACAACATAGTGAGACCCCCATCTCTATAAAAAATTTTAAAAATTAGCCAGGCACAGTGGTAGGTACCTGTAGGCCTTTGCAAACCTTACCACCATCACTCCTGCTAACACCTGAGTTGGGCTGTAGCCTCTTCCCTGCCCATCCCAGGAGATGACCCTGATTCTTGCTTCCTGGAGAAAATAGACATGACCAATTGGTAAATACTTTTCATCTATATCCAACCCAACTACTTTTCCTCTATTACTACACCAACATTCATCTGCTAAAAACCTCCACTTCTGGACTTAACCTATCTTTCTTCCATATCATGTTTCTTACACCCTGCTGGATTGCTCCCATTGGCATAAAAACACGCCTATATCACACATCTTTTAAAAAGTCAACTATCTGGCTGGGTGCGGTGGCTCATGCCTGTAATCCCAGCATTTTGGGAGGCCAAGGCAGGTGGATCACTTGAGGTCAGGAGTTCGAGACCAGCCCATCCAACATGGAGAAATCCTGTCTCTACTAAAAATACAAAAATTAGCCGGGTGTGGCAGTGGGTACCTGTAATTCCAGCTACTCAGGAGGCTGAGGCAGGAGAATCGCTTGAACTCAGGAGACAGGTTGCAGTGAGCCAAGACTGCCCCACTGCACTCCAGCCTGGGCGACAGAGTGAGAGTCTCTCTCTCAAAAAAAAAAAGTCAACTATCATCCAATTTCCCTACTTCCTATTTACATGAGAACTCACAGACAGTGTCTTTGCTGTTTCCATTTTCTCAACTTTCACCATCTTTTCACCCCACTGCAATCAAGCTTTCATCCACTGAAATGATTCCTATCATCAAGGTCACCAAAATTCTCCATCTACATATCCAATGGTCGATTGTCTGTCTTTTCTTTTTTCTTTTTTTTAAATTTTTTTTTTGAGTCAGGGTCTTGTTCTGTCTCTTGGGCTGAAGTGCTGTGCAGTGGTACAATCATGGCTCAAGGCAGCCTTGAATTCCTGGGCTCAAGCAATCCTCCCACCTCAGCCTCCCAAAGTGCAGGGATTACAGGCATGAGCCACCTCGCATGGCCTACCTTCATCTTATACCTCTAAGCGTTTTACAGTTGACTAATCTCTCTTTTGAGTTTTTTTTAAAGTTTCCATAACACTGCACTCTCAAACACTAGAATGTAAGCAGAAGGACTTGTTTTATTCACGGCTGTATTCCCAATACGTAAGACTAGTGTCTGGCACATAGTAGCTGTTCAATAAATATAACTGATGAATTATGTCCCACATGGCAAGCAGAATACATAGTAGGTGCTCAAAAAATATTGTTTTAATTAATATATTAATGAAGAATCCGAAAAGCTCCATGATCTGAGGGAAATCCCAGGCCCCAATTGTTGGTGAACCATTAAGTTAGTTGAGAACTCTTCTGCGCTATCGAGTTTAAGCCAAGGAGATAATCCTAACGCCAGGTACTGAGGTGCAGGTCAAGCAAAGAGGCTACAGGGGTAACACTATGACTGACACTAGGTTAGAGACTGAGGAACTCTCAAAAGGGGTGGGGGCAGAAATGTCGCTCAAGGAGCATATCTCCGAGGATGGGGCCAGGATAGTGTCTTCGCTGACAGGATAGGAATTCTGGAGTTCTCCGCTCTGGGGACGGAGGAGGGGCAAGAATGCTCCGATCCACGCGCTAATAAAGTCAAACCCGAAGTTCTCCCAACCTCTGCAGAACACCCGGTACTCACGTTGGCCCTCTTGGCCGCTTGCATCGCCATCTTGGCGGGCTGATAAGGTTACCGTAGCAGATACTGAAATTCCTCCGCACCCCTCCGGAGCTCGCTCGGTTTCAGGCGTTACACCGCGTTAGACACAGGACATCAACATCCAGGACCCGCCGGAAGCTGTTACAGCGGAATAGCGCTGTCTCACGCCGAGACGCGCTGACGTAGCAACCCCCTACGAATACACTCCCGGGTAAAACCGAGCCTGAGAGAGACGCGAGGCCGGAAGATGGAAACGCGAGTTCAAGACACTTCCGGGCTCCGTAGCGTAAAGGGCGGGGCGTAGCCTCCAAAAGGCGGGATGTTCCGGTAGGGGAGGCCCTCCGAGAGCAAAGGGAGCCGGGTGGAGGGGGCGGGGCCTGAGGAGGGCGGTGAGCTGGGCGGGGCCCAGGTGAGCAATTGGGGAGCGGAGGAGGCGGGGGTTGAGGAGGGTTATGACAAATAGGGAGGGGCCCAAGTGAGTAGCGGGAGGGGCGGGGCCTGAGGAGGGTGCTGAGAACTGGAGCTGCGCCGAAGTGAGTATCGGGGAGGAAGCGGGGCCTGAGGAGGGAGGTGAGCTGGGGCGGGACCCAAGTGAGTAGCGGGAGGGGGCGGGGCCTGAGGAGGGCGGTGAGAGGTGGGGTGCGGCCCAGGTGAGTAGCGGAAGTGGTCGGGGCCTGAGGAGGGTGGTGGAGGTGAGGTGGGGCCCGGATGTGTAGCGGGAGGTGGTGGGGGCTGAGGAGGGCGACGAGAGGTGGGGTGGGGCCCAGGTGAGTAGCCAGTAGGGCCGGGACCTGCTGTGGTGCCCGTGCTGGGCGCGCGGGCAGGTGCGGGAGACGCGATGGTGGGCCTGAGCCTCTAGCCGTGCTCAAGGCGGAGTCTGCGGGGTTCTGGCGGCTGGTGTCACGGCTGACGCTGTAACTATACCCAGAACCTCCGACCCTGGAGGGGCGCTCAGGTCGAGCCTCAGCTGATCGGGCCTCTGAAATCCCCGCTGCGATGCCCGCCGGACTCCCTCCCCAACCCCGCCGCGGCGGCCGCAGTCCGCGTGCCACCCTTGCAGTCCACTCTTTATTTCCTTAGACCAACTTTAAACGGCTCTGGAGGAAGCACCGGGTTTCTTGCCTGTTTATTGTGAATCTTCTCCAGGTTTGCTCTAGAAAGGCCTGGGGTGGCCGCGTCCTGTCTTGCCCACTCCTCCTTCACTGGGGCAGTTCCAGGACGATCTTGCCTAGGTTTTTGTTGGCCTCCATGTACTTATGGGCCTCCTGGATTTCGGTCACTGGGTAGATTCTGTCCAGAACCGGCAGTAGACGTTGGGGGCCCTCCGTGGAGAAGTGAGGCAGAATTTGCTCCGTGAAAGCATTCACTAGCATTTGCTTGTACTAACACAAGGGAAAGGAGAGTATCAGCCTGGGGAGAGAGCCTCACCCCGCCCTCCTCATCCTCCTCATCCTCCTTGCTCTCTCTGAAACCACATATCTGAAAAAGCACATGGGGACACTTAACCCCTCACTTCCTAGCATGTGTGTGCAATACCCCTGAAGGAGTGATGTGCCATCTCAGAATATGTCTGATAGGTATATTGTTTATTTTGAGGTGAAAACATTGGAGAAATTGTAGTTTCAGAAAAGGATAGCTGACCTGTCTCTTCTTGCATGTAGCAAGTCATAAAGATTCCTGTGGGAGGGGCACCCTCCCCATACTAGGGCAAGAAAATAGCCTTTATCACCAGAGACTGGAAACAGGGCTACAGTGGAACCGAATAAATAAACTTAAGGAAGTAACCCTTATCTTCCACTAGTTTTACGCCCCCCACCCCCATATATCTCCTAGTGACTTCCCTAGAAATTTACTATCCCTAGCCCGATTTTGCCTTATTTCTTCTCAAATTTATTGTTCTTTGTCTAAAAATTACAAAAGCATCTTACTTTGGCCAGATCACTTGAGCCTGGGAGTTTGAGATCAGCCTGGACAACATGGTGAAACCGTCTCTATAAAAAATACAAGCCAGGCATGGTGGTATGCCTTTGTCTTGGCTACCTAGGAGGCTGATTGTGCCACTGGACTTCAGCCTGGGTGACAGAGTAAGACCCTGTCTCCATAAAAAAAAAAAAAAAAAAGGACATGCTTTTCTCCTGTCAATCTGCCGTTATCAATTTGGTTTCTAGATCCAGCCGAAGAGACCACATAGGAGCTAAAGGGGGGTTACAGGTGATCTCTGGCTCCCCTGTACCTCCAAATGTGTAACTTCTGTTCTGTACCAGATAAAGACTGAAGCCTGAAGTAAAATGTTAGTATCACTGACAGCCTAAGAATTGTTTTTTTGTTTGTTTGTTTGTTTTTGTTTTTTTTTTCTTTTCTTTTTTTGAGACGGAGTCTCGCTCTGCGGCCCAGGCTGGAGAGCAGTGGTGCAGTGGTGCGATCTCGGCTCTCGGCTCACTGCAAGCTCCGCTTCCCGGGTTCACGCCATTCTCCTGCTCAGCCTCCCGAGTAGCTGGGACTACAGGCGCCCGCCACCACGCCCAGCTAATTTTTTTGTATTTTTAGTAGAGATGGGGTTTCACCGTGTTAAGTCAGGATGATCTCGATCTCCTGACCTCGTGATCCGCCCGCCTCAGCCTCCCAAAGTGCTGGGATTACAGGCATGAGCCACCGCGCCTGGCCAAGAATTGTTTTTAAATAAACGGTCTTCACCCAGGAGGCAGCCACAGATAGGACTCATATAGGCTTAGTGCAAAAAGGATGCTTAAGTTCTCCTCTCCCCTCAGCTGGTGCAAAACCCTATGGTGGAAACATTCCCAAAGCTGGTACCTGCTAGACTGCCAGATGGAATATTTCAGGAGCATATAATCTTTTTTTTTTTTTTTTTTTGAGATGTGTTTTTGCTGTGTTGCCCATGCTGGGGTACAGTGTCTATGCACAGGTGCAATCATAGCTCACTGCAGCCTTGAAACTCCTGGACTCAAGCAATCCTTCACCTCAGCCTTCCAAGTACCTGGGACTACAGGCAAGTGCCACTGTGCCCGGCCTGGAACCTATAATCTGTTGAAGGCCAAGGCTTACTTATTTTTTACTCACTTAAGAGTCTTTCTTAACACACTGAGATGAATTCTGCCTTTGAAAACAAAGTCTTGGAACTACTCGAAATGCTTCCTAATATGGTCAGTGCTTTGTTCATTCTATTAGAATGTTCAGATAGCGCATGAAGCACCAACTACACTTCTTTTCATGATACTGAAGCCTCTATTGACCAATCTGAATCAGTTCTCTGAAATCAGGTTCCCTATTTATCTTCAGAGGGGGAGATTTCTTCATAGAAACTAACCTTCCTAACCTAAGGTAGAGCTTCCTTTCTCGGGGTAATGTAAATGAACCACACTTTTCTGGGTTAAATCACATGTTTTCTTTTCATTCATTACTCACCTTATTGTCCCTAGATCTCAGCAAACTGGTGATCAGACTTCCTCGTTTATGAAGTAGCTTTGAAAGCAGGGGCCCATTGATGTCAGCTCCTCCCATCAGACCATAGAGAACCCAGCGACCATCAAGAGCCAGGCAGTTGACGTTCTTCTCCCAGTAGGATCCGCCTATGCAGTCTAGAATAAGATTAACTCCAGCACCTTCCATAGGAAACAGATTTGTGATGCTAGTCAGATATAGAAAGCTTGGTACAAAATAAGATACCATGGTATATTTGTGGATTATAGACATAAATACAGATGCAAGTGGTAACTCTATAGGTTGGAATTAGAAACACTGCTTGAAGAACTGTTGTAAATGGAGTTTAGATAGCGGAACTCTATCATAGCATGTGTGAAGATCACCCTTTATGATGCCTAGCTATAGCAAGAGGGAAATGGGGCACCATGGCCTAGAGTCTCCTCTCATGCCAAAATAAGTACAGTCCCACTGACACCCAGACATGATTTAAAACAGAATACAGGAGGCCCAACCTAGGCTAGTTGTTTACATAGAAGTTAGGAAGTATCCGCACTGGGTTATTGGAATTATAGGCTTTCTAACTTTGGTTTCATCTCTCCTTTTCTTTCTTTCTTTCTTTCTCTTTTTTTTTTTTTTTTTGAGACAGAGTCTCACTCTGTCGCTCAGGCTGGAATGCAGTGGCGTGATCTCAGCTCACTGCAAGCTCTGCCTCCCGGGTTCACGCCATTCTTCTGCCTCAGCCTCCCGAGTAGCTGGGACTACAGGCGCCTGCCACCATGCCCGGCTAATTTTTTGTATTTTTAGTAGAGACGGGGTTTTCACCATGTTAGCCAGGATAGTCTCGATCTCCTGACCTCGTGATCCACCCGCCTCAGCCTCCCAAAGTGCTGGAATTACAGGCGTGAGCCACAGTGCCCAGCCCTCCTTTTCTACTCACATGAAAAATGGAGGCCAGGCGCGGTGGCTCATGCCTGTAATCCCAGTACTTTGGGAGGCTGAGGCAGGCAGATCACCTGAGGTAAGGAGTTCAAGACCAGACTGGCCAACATAGTGAAACCCCATCTCTACTAAAAATACAAAAATTAGCTGGGTGTGGTAGTGCACCCATGAGCCCAGCTGCTCAGGAGGCTAAGGCTGAAGAATTGCTTGAACCTGGGAGGCAGAGGTTGCAGTGAGCCGAGATCAAGCCACTGCACTCCATCCTCAGTGACAGAGCAAGACTCCATTTCAAAAAAAAAAGAAAGAAAAGAAAAATGGAAAGGGATGAACCAAAAATAGACACATCTGGCTTTGGAATACAGCAGTGTGCACATCTACTCACTCATTTAGGGTGCTATCACCCAACCCTACCATGCCCAGCTCCAAACTTGTCTCTGCCTCCAAGCCTCCTATTAACTAAGTATAGAATGGCTGGTTGGGAAGAAAAGGTGCTGGATAATTCTAGACCAAGTCTGCGTGGTCTAAAGTGTGGATGAATCTTATCTCTTGCAAGAACGCACATGGAAACCATCTTAGATATAAATATGACTGCCTGTCTCCAGTGGTCAAATACCATAGTACTAGAATTTGGCCAGGGCAGCTGTTGAGCACTTAGTAGAGGTACGACTGATAGACAGCACTGGCAACTTTGAGACTGGTGGGGATTTTATTTAATCATCTCTTAAATTCCTGCTGAACTGTAGAAACAGTTGTTTACCTTTGGTGAATTTCAGTGTTGCTTCAGAGAAATCCTCTTCTTTGTAATTGAATCCAGCAGCTGCTCCAAGCTTTTCTGCCATTTGAAGCTTCTGCTGGGAGCCAGCTGTGACCAGAGGAATAGCTCCAGCCATCCGGGTGAGTTGGATAGCAGCTGTGCCCACACCACTCAGTCCTGCATGGATTAGCACATAGTCTCCAGCCTGAACGTTTCCTGTGACAGAAAGTACAGGGTTCTCTTTATTTGCAACTACTACATATTCCCCACACAGGCATATTTTATCAAGATCACCTGGCCGTTGCACCAAATGCCAAATCGATCTTTTGCTTTTCCTTTTTTATTTGGTAGGGTGGGGGTGGGACACTGTGACTCAAATACAAACTGTCTTGTTCTTTGGAGAAAGAAAAAGCATACTGACAGTCCTTTTTTGTCTTATTTCCTCTGGCTTAAGTGGAAAACAGCCTTTTGAAACAGGGCTATAAGCAGTCACATCCATAATCTCTATTTTATCTATGATATAACACCAAAATGCACATCTCTGACCTACACCTGAATAAGTAAGAACAACTACCATTCCCATGGTCACCCACCACCCAAAGCCAGTCCTTGTAGAGTCTGAAATGCCTCCAGCTGGTCTTCCTGATCCAGGTAACAGATAACCACCAGGCTTTTCTTCCTAAGATGGCACTTTTATTACGTTATTCCTCCTCAAAATGTAAAGTGCTTCTCCATTGGCTTTTGCGTTGAGTCCAGACAGCTTGATATTCAAGGACACCGTGATCTGGCCCCAGCCTCATTTTTCACAAATCACAATAGTCATCCTTCACTACTGAGTGCAGTGGCTGGTCTCACCTTGATACTCTTTCCTTTTTTTTTTTGAGACAGAGTCTTGCTTTGTCACCCAGGCTGGAGTACAGCGTCGTGATCTCAGCTCACTGCAAGCTCCACCCACCTGGGTTCACGCCATTCTCCTGCCTCAGCCTCCTGAATAGCTGGGACTATAGGGGCACCACCGCCACCATTGCCAGCTCATGTTTTTTATTTTTTTCTTTTTTTTTTTGGACGGGTGGGAGTTTGCTGTGTCTCCCAGGGCTGGTAGTGCAGTTGGCGCTGATCTCGGCTCCACCTGGGGCTGAAAGGCTGCCGCCTCCGGTTCACGCCATTCTTCCCCGCCTCAGCTTCCCTGGAGTAGCTGATGGATCACAGGCGCCCGTCCACCCCCACTCCCGGCTTAGTTTTGTTATGTTTTAGTGAGTACGGGTTCACCGTTTACCAGGGATGGGTCTCCGTATCTTCCTGGGCGCGTGATCCGCCCGCCTCGGCCTCCCAAAGTGCTGGGATTACAGGCTTGAGCCACCGCGCCCGGCCTAATTTTTTGTATTTTTAGTAGCGACGAGGTTTCACTGTGTTAGCCAGGATGATCTCGTTCTCCTGACCTCGTGATCCGCCTGCCTTTGCCTCCCAAGGTGAGCCGAGGCCCGGCCTACTCTTACTTTTTCTTTGAGACAGAGTCTCACTCTACTGCCCAGGCTGGAGTACAGTGGCATGATCATGGCTCACTGCAGCCTTGACCTTCCTGGGCGCAGGTGATCCTCCCAACTCAGCCTCCTGAGTAACTGAGACAACAGGCGTGCACCATCATGCCTGGTTAATTTTTGTGTTTTGTGTAGAAACAGAGTTTTGCCATGTTGCCCAGGCTGGTCTCGAACTCCTGGGCTCAAGTGAGCTGTCTTCCAAACTGCTACTATTATAGGTGTGAGCCACCTTGCCTGGCCGATACTCTTTCTTAGGCCACCTTGGCGTGCCTATGTCCTTCACAAGTCTACCCACCCTTCAAAGCCTTCTCTTCCAAAAAGCCTTCTGACTACCCTTGTCCACACCATCTTTTCCCATCTCCAGTTTCTACTGTAGTTAGAGACAGGGCTATCCTTCTAAACTCTATGGTCATCTGATCTTATGCATATGTTGCCTTCTCAGTCACACTGCACTGTCTAAAGGCAAGGAACAAGTCTTCTTAGATTCCCTTATGTGAGTTCTTGACTGTCCTTAATGGGATTGGGGAGGAATAAATGAGTCAATTGGCCCCTTCTGTTGCACTGGGACCCCAGAGAGAAGCTCAGCATGATTTTGAGAAGCTGGGACTGCCGCTGAGCCTCTGGTGTTAAGATGTACAGAGGTCTCCTATCTAGTGTTATCCAGACCTTCTATCTGCTAACCATGATTCTCAGCCTCAACATTAAACCCTTCTAACATGGTCTGAGGACCTGACAGTACAGGTGGTACAGCAGGGCCTGGGAGTGCCCTGGAGGATTGCTGGGATTCAAGGTGACTGATTTATGAAGGTGTTGAGCCACATTGTGTGGAGTAAGCATGGAGGCCTCCTCACCCACAAGATGTAACAGCTGGAATGCGGTGAGCCAGGCCTCCGGGATGGCCGCAGCCTGGGGCAGGGTCAGTCCCTCTGGGATAGGCATGAGGAGGCTTTCGGGGACAGTGACATACTGAGCCTGGCCCCCACCGGGGAGCAGAGCCATGGCTGCGTCCCCGATCTTCCAGTGTCTGTGGCAGCCAGGCCCCAGCTCTGCCACGTGTCCAGATGCCTCAAGTCCCAAAATGTTGCTGGCTCCTGGAGGTGGGTCATACTGGCCTTCTCTCTGCAGAAAAAGAAGTGCACTAAGTGGTGAGCATGATCAGAAATCTGTGTGTCACCACCCCTGGCCCCTCTTGCAATATCCCCTCTTTTTTTTTTTTTTGAGACGGAGTCTCGCTCGGTCGCCCAGGCTGGAGTGCAGTGGCGCGATCTCGGCTCACTGCAAGCTCCGCCTCCCGGGTTCCCGCAGGAGAGTAGCTGGGACTACAGGAGCCGCCACCACCGCCGGCTAGTGTTTTGTATTTTTTAGTAGAGATGGGGTTTCACCGTGTTAGCCAGGATGGTCTCGATCTCCTGACCTTGTGATCCACCCGTATCGGCCTCCCAAAGTGCTGGGATTACAGGCTTGAGCCACCGCGCCCGGCCCCCTCTTTTTTTTTCAGAAATAAATTTCAGGATGAAGTCAGGAGAAGAGAAAGGAGAGGCCATTAGTTTTATGCAAATAAACTGGAGATCACATGATCAGTGGATGTTATAACTGGTAGAGTCCTTAGCTATTTACCTCATCTGAACCCCTTGCTCTACAGATGGAGAAACTGAGTCCCAGACAGGGGAAAAAATAGTCGTGGGATTAGGAACCTTGACGATGGTTCCCATGCATCAAGTGCTAGGCTCTGTGTTCACTCACCCCAGTCCTCAGAAGCCGTAGAGCAGAGGGACTTAACCAGGAGTGTGTGGCAGAACCACCTGAGGAGTATTTCAAAGTACATGTGCCTGGGCCCCCATCACGTTTCTTTTGTGCCCCAGGGGATTCTGATGCACATTTCTGAATGACCACAACCAATGCAGCGGGCCCAGGTCAGTAAATCAGTAGCAGACAGAAGAAAATTCTTATAGAGTACTGCCAGCTGTCAGCTCTGGGACTCTCAGAGTGGAAAGAGTTAAGAGGTCCTTAGAGCCACAAAGACCTCAGCCTGAATCCCAGCTCTTCTGCTTGCTAATGTCATGGCCTTAGGCATACTGCTTAACCTGGCTGACCTTCAGTTTCCTTATCTGTAGAATGAAGAGGATGAACAGGATAGCCTGGGGAGTAAGTGTGCCCACACCCCACAACAATGTTAGTTCCGCCCTCCTTATCTGGAGGCCTGAGTGGCTATGGATTAGCTCGGGGTGGATTCTGCTTTGCAAATACTCCCCCTTGTTTTGTATGAACAAAAGGGGAGCCCTGGGTTTAGGTCTGGGAAGCCCCAGCGCATGTGCCTGTTGGGTGTGGGGCGGTGCACGCCTTCACGTCTCATCAATGTCCACTGAATGCTGTTGAGAGGTAGTCCCGCCCAACCCGGCACAATTGAGCTCTGGGTACCTGGATTAAGTCCGCCCGGTTCAGGGCGCTGGCCGCCACCTTCAGGAGGACTTCACCCTCCCCAGGGCTTGGCTTGGCCACCTCCTTCACGTAGAGGTTTTCCGGTCCTCCCGGCTTGTCAAAGTGCACGGCTAACATGTTCTCTGAGGACACAGGGCAGAACAGGACAGGGCAGACAGAGCAGGGCAGGGGCCGCTGTATCCTCGCGGAGCAGCCCAGCCTCAGGCTGGCACCGCGGCGTCCCGTGCCGGCCAGCGCCTCACTGCCCTGGTCTCGCGCGGACCCGGCCTCTGCCCCGAGCTCCTGCCTGGGAAGTCGTCGACCGCCTCCAGACCGATCCCACTCGGAACACAGATGGGAACAGCGGGAAGTGGGATGGCGGTACAGGGCTGGATGCGGCAGAGCAGGACAACGCCGAAGAGGATCAGGCAAATCACACTCCCTCTGAGTTGGAATCCCCCAGCCCTACGGGTCCCCGGTGACCGTATGAGGTACTTACTCCTGGCCCGGCTCCCCTCCCGTGCACCAAGCGGCGCCTAGCGGTTCTGGCTCCTGCGGGTCCCGGTGGCACAGCACGAGCCCCAGAGTCCCGGGACTGCCTCTGCCTCCACCGGAATGGACGGCGGGACTTGGGGCAGCCAGAGGGGTGGGGCTAAGCAGAACCACCCTCCCTCTCTTTCCTCCTCCCCCCTTTAAAACGCAAAGTTAGAAGCAAGCAAATCAGATTTTCTTGTCCTTTTAGTCTCTGGAAAAGAGTCTTTCTCTCAGCTTGGCAGAAAGTGCGATTCTAGCTCTCACTGCAAGGAGAGACTTCCTTCTCTCTAGGGAACGAGACCCAACCTCTCGACATGCGAATCGGTCCATTTTCCAGGCAAGGCCAGGCTTTTGGCACATTTATGTAGCAGGCTGGCATCCTGCCCATCTTGAGTATGGGTGAGCAAGCTGGGTGCTGCTAAGAGAAGAGAAAGGAGCCGTTGAGAGTGGGGATGGGGAAGGAAGGCAAAACGCAGTCCTGGGATCCTTATCACGCCCCTTCCTCCTGACAGTCCCGGGGGAGAGGTTCAGCCCCAGGAGAAGGATACTGGCGATTTTGACCGGGTAAAAGCTGTATCCGTAAGCTACATGACGATTTCTCAACCTCAGTACTGTTGACATTTTGGACTAGCTAGTTCGTTGTTGTACAAGATTGTCCTGTGCATTGTAGGATGTTTAGCAGCATCCCTGGCCTCCTCCCCACTACATATCCATAGCACTCCTTGTAAATTCCTGTTTTAGTAAGAACCTCCATCCTTGACATCTGATCACCCTCAATATCTGATCAAGTTCCTCATCGTCCACCATCCCCCAAGTGATATCCGACCACCCTGGCCTGTCTTCAGTAAGAATCCTGTTAAGTCAGTTTAGATAGAATCCCCCTTACCCCTGATTGCTCTTCTTTTCCATCCACTGACCCCCAACACTGCCCCTTGGCTATACATTCCCACTTGTCCATGATGCATTCAGAGTTGATCCCGACCTGTCTCCTCCACTGCAATGGGTTGTTGCAGTGATGGTGCTAAATAAAGTCTTCCTTAATGCGCTTTAACAAGGATCATTGAATAATTATTTAACACAACAGAGCAAAAGCCTATAGAGATGGAAATAATAAAATGATGGGACTTAAGGAAAAATTCAGGAGACCCTGCTATAAGAATAACAGGAATTTTAGAAGGAGGAAGAGGAATGGATGAAGAAGATTCAATAGTTAAACAAATAAAAGAATACAGTTTTCCTAAATTCTACCACATTATTCAGATTGAAAACATTCACTAAAGGATGGATTCATGAGAACAAAAATGCATGCCTATATTTTATAAAATTTCAGGTTCTAACAAGTGTGGAAAGAATAAGTTACCCACAATTGGTTAAAAAATAAAAATGGCTTCCTCCCTCCCTCCCTTCCTTTCTTCCTTCCCCCCACCTTTCTCTCTCTCTCTTTTTTGTAGTGTAGGGGTCTCACTATGTTGCTCAGGCTAGTCTCAAACTCTTATGCTCAAGCAATCCTCCTGCCTCAGCCTCCCAAAGTGCTAGGATTACAAGTATGAGCCACTGTGCCCAGCAAGTTTCTATCTGCAATCTGGAAACTAGAAGAGAGTAGACTAGCCTCTATTGACTAGAAGAAAAGGACTGTAACTCAATATACCCCATTAAGATATAATTCACTCGTTAGGGCAAAAAGCATGTTTGAGGATGTATAAGGATTCAGAGACGCATCATCTGGATATGCATCTGTCCAAAATTGAGGAAAGGTTTGAACCAAATAATAAATGTCCTAGAACAGAGGCAGATGGAAAGGAAATAGTTGTAAATAATGAACTTTGCAAAAATCTACACTAAAACTGATTGGATTAAGAAAATGGAATGGATTAAGATAGATGGGGAATGTGTAATATAAGTGTTAAATAAGAACTTTTAAAATGCAAGGAATTGGCCGGGCGCGGTGGCTCAAGCCTGTAATCCCAGCACTTTGGGAGGCCGAGGCGGGCGGATCACGGAGGTTTCAGGAGATCGACCATCCTGGCTACACGGTGAAACCCCGTCTCTACTAAAAAAATACAAAAAAACTAGCCGCGCGGTGGCGGGGCGCCTGTAGTCCCAGCTACTCAGGAGGCTGAGGCAGGAGAAATGGCGTGAACCCGGGAGGCGGAGCTTGCCGTGAGCTGAGATCCGGCCACTGCACTCCAGCCTGGCGGGCAGAGGAGACTCGTCTCAAAAAAAAAAAAAAAAAAAAAATGCAAGGAATTACTTTAAAAAAAATTATAATAATACCAACCACTAAGTATACTAAAGTCTCCCCAGTAAAACTAGGAGTTGAAAGTGCCTAAGATTTTATCTTGGTGAGCCCTTGGTTGATGTAATTTTGGCAGTGTGTAATAAGAAACATATTTGGCCGGCCGCGCGTGGCTCATGCCTGTAATCCTAGCACTTTGGGAGGCCGAGGCGGGGGATCACGAGGTCAGGAGATCGAGACCATCCTGGCTAACACAATGAAACCCATCTCTACCAAAAAATACAAAAATAAGCCGGGTGCAGTGGCAGGTGCGGTAGTCTCAGCTGCTCAGGACGCTGAGGAGGAAATGGCGTGAACCCAGGAGGCGGAGCTTGCAGTGAGCCAAGATCACGCCACTGCACTCCAGTCTGGGCCACAGAGCCAGACTCTGTCTCAAAAAAAAAAAAAACAAAACATATATTTTTGGTCTTTGTCCTGGGTTCCTGCAATAGCACTCCTTAAAACCTCTGTTATTTTCTGGATAAACATCTCTTCTTTCTTTTTTAATTTTCTTTTGTTTTTAACTAGATATAGGTCTTGCTACGTTGAACAGGCTGGTCATGAACTCCGGACTCAAGCAATTCTTCCACCTCAGCCTAAAGACTGGAATTGCAGGCATGAGCCACTCTGCCTGGCCAATAAGCGTCCTTTATCATAATATTTTGTTCTTGTCCCAAGCTCCTAACCCTTGGAATTTTGTATGTGATAGAAGTGACTTTTTTTTTTTTTTTTTTTTTGAGACGGAGTCTCGCTCTTGTCACCCAGGAGGGAGTGCAGTGGCCAGATCTCCAGCTCACTGCAAGCTCCGCCTCCCGGGTTCATGCCATTCTCCTGCCTCAGCCTCCTGGTAGCTGGGACTACAGCGCCTGCCACCTCGCCCGGCTAGTTTTTTGTATTTTTTAGTAGAGGACGGGTTTCACCGGGTTAGGCCAGGATGGTCTCGATCTCCTGACCTGGTGATCCGCCCATCTCGGCCTCCCAAAGTGCTGGGATTACAGGCTTGAGCCACCGCGCCCGGCCAGAAGTGACTTTTTATATTAATAACAAACCCTTATGAGCACACTCGAGTTTATGCTAATAAAGTGACTTAGGGTGGGGGCCCTAGATAACTTCAGGATGAGCTTGTAACCAGAAAGACCCTGGGAAGGGGAAGCAGGGACTGGAGATTACGCACTATAAGAACTCTTTTTTGTTGTTGTTGTTGAGACTGAGTCACTCTGTTGCCCATGCTGGAGTGCAGTGGCCTGATCTCAGTTCACTGCAACCTCCACCTCCCAGGTTCAAGCGAACCTCCTGCCTCAACCTCCCCAGTAGCTGGGACTACAGGTGTGAGCCACCACACCAGGGTAATTTTTGTGGTTTTTGTTTTTTTTTTTTTTTGAGACAGAGTCTCACTCTGTCACCCAGCCTGGAGTCCAATGGCGTGATCTCGGCTCATTGCAACCTCAGCCTCCCAGGTTCAAGCAATTCTCCTGCCTCAGCCTCCCAAGTAGCTGGGACTACAGGCGCATGCGGCCACGCCCAGCTAATTTTTTGTATTTTAGTAGAGACAGGGTTTTACCAGCCCACGGTTTTACAACAGCCCAGGCTGTTCGTGAGCTCCTGAGCTCAGGCAGTCCGCTTGCCTTGGCCTTCCAAAGTGCTGGGATTACAGCCGTGAGCCACCAGGTCCGGCCAATTTTTGTGGTTTTAGTAGAGATGGGGTTTCTTCATGTTGGCAAGGCTGGTCTCGAACTCCTTACCTCAGGAGATCCATCTGCCTCGGCCTCCAAAAGTGCTGGGATTAGGGGTGTGAGTCACCATGCCTGGCCCTAAAAACTCTGGAACAATGAAATTTGGTGCACTTTGGGAGGCTGAGGCAGGAGGATTGCTTGAGCATAAGAGTTTGAGACCAGCCTGAGCAACATAGTGAGACCCCTACACTACAAAAAAGAGAGAGAGAGAAAGGTGGGGGGAAGGAAGAAAGGAAGGGAGGGAGGGAGGAAGCCATTTTTATTTTTTAACCAATTGTGGGTAACTTACTCTTTCCACACTTGTTAGAACCTGAATTTCATTCCCACACTACCATGGGAAGGTGGTGTGGTGTACCCCAATGCCTTGGGGGCAGAGGCTCCTGCACTTGGGATCCTTCTGGACCTCATTCTGCATACCTCTTCACCCGGCTGTTCATCACTTTATAATCTGTCTATCTATCTATATATCTATCTATCTATCTACTTTCCTATATCTTTTTCTGAGACAGAGTCTGGCTCTGTCGCCCAGGCTGGAATGAGATGGTGTGATCTCGGCTCACTGCAACCTCTGTCTCCCAGGTTTACGTGATTCTCCTGCCTCAGTCTCCCAAGTAGCTAGGATTACAGGTGTGCACCACCAAGCCCAACTAATTTTTGCATTTTTAGTAGAGACAGGGTTTCGACATGTTGGCCAGACTGGTCTTGACCTCCTGACCTCAAGTGATCTGCCCACCTCGGCCTCCCAAAGTGCTGGGATTACAGGGGTGAGCCGCCATGCCCAGCCTATAATATTATTTATAATAAACTAGTAAACATGTTTCCCTGAGTTTTGTGAACCATTCTAGCAAATTATCAAATCCAAGGAGGGAGACATGAGAATCCCTGATTTATACAGCCAGTTGGTCAGAAGTGTAGGAGGCTTGGATCTGCAGTTGGCATCTTTAATGGGGGCAACCTTGTGGGAATGAGCCCTTAATCTGTGAGATCTGACACTAACTCCAGGTAGAGAGTGTCAGAATTGAATTGTGGAACACCCAGCCTGTGTCAGAGAATTGGTTGATGTGGGATAAAACCTGCATATCTAGTGTCAGAAACAAAGTGTTCTGTGTGAGAGTGTAGAAACAGAAACAGTGTGGTTTCCCAGATATGGGAAAAAATTATATTTAGTAGAAATGTATCCAATTATGAAAGTTGGGAAATGGACTGGCTGCGGTGGCTTACACCTGTAATCCCAGCACTTTGGGAGGCTGAGAGGGGTGGATCACTTGAGGTCAGGAGTTCAAGGCCAGCCTGGCCAACATGATGAAACCCCATCTCTACTAAAAATGCAAAAATTACCTGGGTGCGGTGGTGGGCGCCTGTAGTCCCAGCTTGTTCTTTATAAAAAGCAGTAACATGAATGAAATGTATTGTGAGTTAGAGCTGGGGAACAAGAGATAGCCAAAGTCTGAGAGACTGGGAATGAGAAAGGAGATATAACCACAGATGTAGGAGTGATTAAAAGAAGAATAAATTAAATTACGTGAAACTCTGCAGCAACAAGTTGTAAAGTCTAGAAAAAAATGGATGATTTTTCAGCAAGATTACTCCTTTCTACCCCATGGGTGGAGTATTTTCCTCTCATTCTGTTGATGTTGGGTTTGGCCCTGTCTCTTACTTTGGTCAGTGATGAGTGAGGAAGGCATGGTCAGTTTCCATCAGTCCCCTTACCCTCCTGCCACCCACAGGTAGCCTCTATTTCAGCTTGTCCCTGAGTGAGAAACACTCAGGGTAGCCCGGAATCCAACCTATTGTCTTGGGACCAGCCTAACAGAGTCACAACCAAGGAAGAACTAAACATTTGTTGTTGTAAGCTGTTGCTGTTGTAAGCTGTTAAGATTTGGGGGTAGTTTATTTTTGCAGCAAAGGCTTGTTAATAAAGATGAAAATTTCTTTAAAAAATTAGCAAGGATACAAAATTAGCCGGGTGTGGTGGCTCATGCCGAGGCAGGAGTATCGCTTGAGGCAGAGATTGTGGTGAGCCGAGATTGTGCCATTGCACTCCAGCCTGGGGAACAAGAGCAAAACTCCGTCAAAAAAAAAAAAAAAGGCCGGGCGTGGTGGCTCATGCCTGTAATTCTGGCATTTTGGGAGGCCAAGGTGGGTGGATCACGAGGTCAGAAGATTGAGACCATCCTGGCTAACACGGTGAAACCCCGTCTCTACTAAAAGTACAAAAAAACTAGCCGGGTGTAGCCAGGTGTGGTGGCGGGAGCCTGTAGTCCCAGCTACTCTGGAGGCTGCGGCAGGAGAATGGTGTGAAACCCGGAGGTGGAGCTTGCAGTGAGCCGAGATTGCCCCACTGCACTCCAACCTGGGTTACAGAGTGAGACTCTATCTCAAAAAAAAATTAGCAGGGGCGGCATGGTGGCTCAACCCTGTAATCCCAGCACTTTGAGAGGCCAAGGCAGGTGGATCAGTTGAGGTCAGGAGTTCAAGACCAGCCTGGCCAACATGGTGAAAACCCATCTCTACTAAAAATACAAAAATTAGCCGGGCGTGGTGGTACACACCTGTAGTCCCAGGTACTTGGGAGGCTGAGGCAGGAGGATTGCTTGAACCTGGGAAGTGGAGGTTGCAGTGAGCTGTGATTGCACCACTGCACTCCAGCCTTGGTGACAGAGACAGACTCCCACCTCAAAAAAAAAAAAAATTAGCAAATGGAATTCAGCAACTTACATTCCCTATGACTATACAAAATCAGTATTGGAAAGTCTATCAATACAACCCCAAAACATCAACAAATTAAAGGAGAAAGCACCATATGAGCCAATCAATAGAGGCCAAAAAGGCATTGATTAAACCTAGAAGCCATTCATTATAAAACTTCCAAGCAAAATAGGGATAAAAGGAAAGTATTTATAGTAGACTTTTTTTAAAAGACAAGGTCTCATTCCGTTGCCCATGCTGGAGTGCAGTGTTGTGATCATAGCTCACTGCAGCCTTGATATGGGTTCAATTGAACCTCCCACCTCAGCCTCCCCAGTAGCTAGCACTACAGGCTTGAGCCACCACACCCAGATAGTTTTTGTTTGTTTGTTTGTTGTTTGTTTTGTAGATATGAGGTTATGCCATGTTGTCCAGGCTGACATTATTATTTAACATTACTTTGGAAGTTTTAGTCAATACAATAAGACAAAAAAGGAGGTAATAGATAAAAATACTAGAAAAGTGATAAACCAGTCTCCTTTTGTTGTTATGATTGTAGACTTAGAAAACACAAGAGATGCTAATTTTAAAAATGAAGCAAACATTTTTGTTTGAGATAATGAGATAGTTTGTAAGGCTGTCCAGATGCAAGCTACATACACCAGAATCAATGGCTTTATTCTACTTCAGCTAAGGAACTAGAAATATTAATAAAAATGAGGAAAATAACCCTTTTACAGTACAAGCTGTAAAAGGATAAGCAATGTGTTTAACAAGGAAGATACAAAAATTATATAATGAAGACTGTAAAACTATATCAAAGAACAGAAACAAGATCTGAACAAATGAAACAGTACCATGTTTTTAGATGAGAATACAGTACCCAAAATGTCAGTTTTACCAAATTAGTATACAAATTCATTATAAGTTTGGTTCTAATGCCAACAGTATATTTTTTGATTAGATAAAATGGTGTTAGAGTGTATGTGGAAGAACAAATTCCCCCAAATGGCCAAGAAATATATGAAAAGGATAGTAGGGTTGGGAGTGGTGGCTCACATCTATAATCCCAGCACTTTGGGAGGCCGAGGTGGGCAGATCACCCGAACTCAGGAGTTCAAGACCAGCCTGGGCAACATAGCAGAACCCCATCCCTACAAAAAAATTAGCCAGGCATGGTAGCATGTGCCTGTAGTTCTAGCTACTTGGGAGGCTGGGAGATGGGAAGATCACATGAGCCTGGGAGGCAGAGCTTGCAGTGATCATGCCACTTCACTCCAGCCTGGGAGTGAGACACAGTAAGACTCTGTCTCAAAAAAAAAAAAAAAAAAAAGGGATAGTAGGGAAGACTTAAATTACCAGATGTCAGAAAATAAATTGGCTGAGCATGGTGGCTCATGGTTGTAATCTCACCACTTTGGGAGGGCAAGGTGTGTGGATTATTTGAGGTCAGAAGTTCTAGACCAGCCTGGCCAACATGGTGAAACCCTGTCTCTACTAAAAATACAAAAATTAGCTGGGCGGTGGTGGCACGTGCCTGTAATCCCAGCTATTCGCGAGGCTGAGGCAGGAGACTTGGTTGAGCCTGGGAGGTGGAGGTTGCAGTGAGCTGAGATCGCGCCACTGCACTCCAGCCTGGGTGACAGAGTAAGATCCTGTTTCAAAAAAAAAAAGGCTGGGTGCGGTGGCTCATGCCTGTAATCCCAGCACTTTGGGAGGCTGAGGCAGGCGGATCACGAGGTCAGGAGATTGAGACCATCCTGGCTAACACGGTGAAACCTCGTCTCTACTAAAAATACAAAAATTAGCCAGGTGCAGTGGCAGGCGCCTGTAGTCCCAGCTACGTGGGAGGCTGAGGCAGGAGAATGGCATGAACCCGGGAGGCGGAGCTTGCAGTGAGTGGAGATTGCGCCACTGCACTCCAGCCTGGGCGACAGACGACAGAGCAAGACTCCGTCTCAAAAAAAAAAGAAAAGAAAAAAATTTATTTTCTTTGTTATCACTATTTGTTCATTACTATCACTAATAGTGATAGTAACAATGACAGTTTGAAACTTACTTCTAAGGAGTTTGTCCTGTAGAAATAAAACACACCAATTATACAGATGTATGTACAGAGATGTTTATTGCAGCATTGATCATAGTAACAAAAATTTAGAAACAAAGTAGATCCCATCACTAAGGGAATGGCTGGATAAATCGTGAATTCTATGCATCCACTTGAAAAATGAACTAGAGCTATAGCAGTTGACATCGAGGGATTTCTGTGAAGCGTTTGTTTAACCAGAAAAACATTGTGGTAAAACAATAATAAAACATCCCTATACACATATACATGATTTTATGCGCACACACACACACACACACACCATGTACATACCCTGCCCCCCGCCACACTTATATGAGTGATATGAGCATGGAAAAAATATAGACTCTTTTTCTATGTAATTATATATAACTATATATGTATGTGTATATACTTGATAATTTTGGCTTACCTTGGAGAGGATACTGTCAGAGGAGGTAGAGAACAAAATAAAAAAGGAATAAAGGGAAAGAATATAACTTTTAAGCACTTTATATGGGGAACTATGTAAAATAAATTAAGTAATAATTTTAAATTAAGACAAAAATTGAGGTAGATTGCTACACTCATGGCCCCAAAGAATCACTCCTCCCTGTAACCACACCTGCACCCTTTTCTAGTCCCCTAACATGTTGACTTTGGACTTGACAATATGACTTGCTTCCACCAAGGGAACAATGAAAAGTTGGGCTTGCCCTCTCTTGCTGCTGGGAAATTTCTGACCATCATGTGAAGAAGCTTGAACTAGTCTGCCAGAGAATGAGACCAGGCAGAGAATCGCTTGAACCCAGGAGGCGGAGGTTGCAGTGAGCCGAGATCGTGCCACTGCACTACAGCCTGGGTGACAGAGCAGGACTCTGTCTAAAAAAAAAAAAAGACATTATTGGGTTCAGGTATTGTCAATTGGCTTACTTCGGTATGGAGTTCCCCCATTAACTTTTCTGCCTAATTGTTTCATTAGCTATTGATAATCACTGTCTAGATCGGTGCCTCTCCAACTTTATTGTGCATTTGCAATATAGGTTTGGTCTGGGTCCCTGCCCAAATCTCATGTTGAATTACAATGCCCAATGTTGGAAGAGGAGCATAGTGGGAGGTGTTTTGATTGTGGGGATTACTGTTCTCATAATAGTGAGTTCTCAGGAGATCTGGTTGTTTATAAAAGTGTGTAGTACTTCCCCCTTCTCTCTGTTTCTCCTTCTCCAGCCATGTAAGACGTGCCTGCTTCCCCTTTGCCTTCTGCATGATTGTGGGTTTCCTGAGGCCTCCCTAGCCATGCTTCCTGTACAGCCTATGAAACTGTGAGTCAGTTAAACCTCTTTTATTTATAAATTACCCAATCTCAGGTAGTTCTTTATAGCAATGCAAGAACAGACCAATAAAATATGTATCACCGGGGGTCTTGTTAAAGTGTATGTTCTGATTCAGTAGGTCGGGAATGAGGCATGATATTTTGCATTTTTTTCCTCTCTTCAACAACACAAAATAATACATTTTGCCTTTCTTTCTTTCTTCCCTCCCTCCCTTCCTTTCTTCTCTCCCTCCCTTCCTTTCTTCTTTCTTTCTTTCTTTCTTTCCTTCCTTTTCTTTCTTTCCTTCCTTCCTTCCTTCCTTCCTTCCTTCCTTCCTTCCTTCCTTCCTTCCGTCTCTCTCTCTCTTTCTTTCTCTCTTTCTTTTTTTTTTTCCCGAGTCTTGTTTTGTTTCCCAGGCTGGAGTGCAGTGGTGTGATCTCAGCTCACTGCAACCTCTACCTCCTGGGTTCAAGTCATTCTCCTGCCTCAGCCTCTGGTGTAGCTGAGACTACCGGCATGCACCACCACCATACCTGACCAATTTTTGTATTTTTAGTACAGATGGGGTTTTGTCATGTTGCCTAGGCTGGTCTTGAACTTCTGACCTTAAGTGATCCACCCACGTTGGCTTCCCAAAGTGCTGGGATTACAAGCATGAGCCACTGTGCCTGGCCAAAATTTTGGATTTCTAACAAGCAAGGGTGTAGATTATTTCATTAGAGCTTTCTATTCTTTCATCAATTATTTGGTTATTCTGAGATATATAGCTTGAACATACAAAAAAGACATGATAAATGTTATTTGCCAAGCTTCAAAATAATAATCATCTTCCAAAGGTGATCAATGAATTTTAAAAAAATCAGTTATGTGCTCATAGACTTAAGTATAACTTATGTGTTTCAAGCCATTCAAGTTATTCTTTTTAAGGCTCAAATTGTCTCGTATTTGGCCAGTGGGCCCTGCGTTTTGGTTAGACAGATGTTTCAGGCTCATCTTGTGCATTTCCTGCCTCAAATCTGGAATCAATCATTTCTCAACAGAGCCTGGGTTCCTGTGATTGGAAAATGGTATTTAGAGACTACAGTCTATATACAAGGGGTACTCATTGCTGAGATAGATATTTTCTAGCTCTATCCATTGAGAAGAACTAGAAACAATAACAAGAGGTTTCTAGTCCTTCTCAATGGATAGAGCTAGAAAATATCTTTTTATTTTTTAAGAGAAACTGCATCAAGAATTATGATAATTTCAATTTACATGGAGGGCTATAGGGCTTTAACTTAACTTCTTTTTTTTTTCTTCTGTTTTGAGACAGAGTCTCACTCTGTTGCCCAGGCTAGAGAGCAGTGGCACGATCTTGGCTAACTGCAAACTCTGTCTTCCGGGTTTAAGTGATTTTCATGCCTCAGCCTCCCAAGTAGCTGGGATTACAGTCCTGCGCCACTACGCCCAGCTAATGTTTGTATTTTTTTTTTCTTTTTCTTTCTTTTTTTTTTTTTGAGATAGAGTCTCACCCGTCGCCCATGCTGTAGTGCAATGGTGCAATCTCAGCTTACTGCAACCTCCACCTCCTGGGTTCAAACGATTCTCTTGCTTTAGCCTCCCGAGTAGCTGGGATTACAGGCGCCCGCCACCATACCCAGCTAATTTTTGTATTTTTAGTAAAGATGGCATTTCACCATATTGGCCAGGCTGGTCTCGAATTCCTGACCTCGTGATCTGCCCACCTCAGCCTCCCAAAGTGCTGGGATTACAGGCATGAGCCACTGCGCCCAGCCTAATTTTTGTATTTTTAGTAGAGACAGGGTTTCACCATGTTGGCCAGACAGGTCTTGAACTCCTGACCTCAAGTGATTCGCCTGCCTTGGCCTCCCAAGGAGTTGGGATTACAGGTGTGAGCCACTGCACCTGGCCTAACAACTTCTTTGAGTTTTTTCTCCTGAAAATCATGGCTTCTAATGATATAGGTATACTTATTTTTATTGTTGTTGAGATAGGGTTTTGTTCTCAACCCAAGCTGGAGTGCAGTGGTGTAATCATAGTTCACTGCAGCCTTTACCTCCTAGGCTCAACTGACTCTTCTGCCTCAGCCTCCTGACTAGCTGGGAATACAGGTGCATGCCACCACACCTGCCTTTTTTTTTTTTTTTTTTTCTGTAGAGATGAGGTCTTGCTATGTTGCCCAAGTTAGTCTCCAATTCTTGAGCTTGAGCAATCTTCCCACCTCAGCCTCCCAAAGTGCTGGGATTACAAGCATGAGCCACTGTGCCCTACCAGTATAGCCAGTATACTTATTTATAGTAACATAATTATTGAAAGTTTATAATTTTCTTGGTATCTTTTTGTTCGTAGGCTATATCCCCAAATAAGAACATACAGTCAAGTTCATTCAATTTATTTATTTATTTATTTATTTTCAGACAGAGTCTCACTCTGTCGCCCAGGCTGGAGTGCAATGGCATGATCTCAGCTCACTGCAACCTCTGCCTCCCAGGTTCAAGGGATTCTCCTGCCTCAGCCTCCTGAGTAGCTAGAGTTACAGGTGCCTGCCACCATGCCCAGCGAAGTTTTGTATTTTTAGTAGAGACAGGGTTTCGCCATGTTGGCCAGGCTGGTCTCAAACTCCAGACCTCAGATGATCCGCCCACCTCAACCTCCCAAAGTTCTGGGATTACAGGTGTGGGCCACTGCACTCAGCAAGTTATTGTGTTCTTAATTTCACATTAGTTGAAATTATTCCTTTCTGTGTGGCTAATCTATTAACTAGAAATACAATTCAGTATATTTCCTTTTTTTTTTTTTTTTTTTGAGATGGAGTTTTGCTCTTGTTGCCCAGGCTGGAGTGCAATGGCGCGATCTCGGCTCACTGCAACTTCCACCTCCCAAGTTGAAGTGATTCTCCTGCCTCAGCCTCCCCAATAGGTGGGATTGCAGGTGCCAGCTACCACGCCCAGCTAACTTTTTGTATTTTTATAGAGACGGGGTTTCACCATGTTGGCCAAGCTGAACCCCTGACTTCAGGTGATCCTCCCTCCTTGGCCTCCCAAAGTGCTGGGATTACAGGCATGAACCACCGTGCTCAGCCTCAGTGTATTTCTTTAATTTTGATTTTAGGGATTCCTTTTTTACGTTTTTAATTTTGTTTCATATTCATGTAGAACATTTATATGGTACCCAAATCAAATCTTCAAAACAAAGTAATTCAGAGGAGTCTAGCTCCTACACCCCTCCCTTCCATTCTGTCTCCTCCTCTTCATGAAGGTGAACATTGCTTTCCCTTAGGGTTTTTTTTGTTTGTTTGTTTGTTTGTTTGTTTGTTTTTGAGACAGAGTCTCACTCTGTTGCCTAGGGTGGAGTATGATCACAGCTCACTGCCTCTACCTCCTGAGCTCAAATGTTGCTCCCACCTCACCCTCCCAAATAGCTGGGACTACAGGTGTGTGGTACCACACCTGGCTAATTTTTAAATTTTTTTTTTTGTAAAGATGGGATCTCCCTATGTTGCCCTAGTCTAGAACTCCTGCCCTAGCTTCCCAAAATGTTGGGATAATGGACATGAGCCACTACACCTGGCCTTTTTTTCCCTTGAAATTTGTTTTCACCATTCTTGAACTTGGCTGAAACACCTTCGTTTTTTATTCTCCTGTGAGAAAATATAAGAAAATGTGTGTGTGTGTGTGTATACACATACACACTTATGTTCATAAATTCCCTTTTCTAAGATAAAAGGTAGCAAATCATATTCCTTATTGTGTACCTTGCTTTTTTCACTTAACAACATATTCTGGAGATTACAGCAGTTCCCATGTCTTTATATAGTTACATAGTACTCTATTATGTGAATGTATCATAATTTATTAACTAAGTCCCCTCTTGATGGATATTTGGATTGTGGTAGAGAGATCTGAGATTAAAAATTATGTCTGAAGGGCCTATGGTGGGAGGGAGAGCCGTGGTAGAAAACGGGGCTGCAGAGACAGGCATGGGTCAGTCTATACAAAGACTTCTTGGCCTGTGAGGTTCTTATTACTGCTCTACCAAGAGTGGAAGGCTACGGAAGTATATTGAGCAAGGCTGTGACATGATTAAATTTGCATTTTGAAGAGATCACTTTTACTACTGCATAGAATATGGATTACAAGAGAAAAGAGTGGGTATAAGAATATAAATTAGAGGCCGGGTGCAGTGGCTCACACCTGTAATCCCAGTACTTTGGGAGGCCGAGGCGGGCGGATCAGGAGGTCAAGAGATTAAGACCATCCTGGCCAACATGGTGAAACCCTGTCTCTACTAAAAATACAAAATTGGTGCGCACCTGTAGTCCCAGCTACTCGGGAGGCTGAGACAGGAGAATCACTTGAACCCAGGAGGCGGAGGTTGCAGTAAGCTGAGATTGCGCCACTGCACTCCAGCCTGGTGACAGAGCGAGACTCTGTCTCAAAAAAAAAAAAAAAAGAAAGAAAGAAAATAAATTAGAAAACCATTGCAATATTGCAATAGCCCAGGTAAAAGACGGATAGCAGCTTGGATTGCGAGAGATAGTGAAATGGAGAGAAAGGAAAAGATAAAAGAGATTTAGAAAAGAAAATTGGCTACTTGGTGACCCATTGGACCTGAAGATAAGAGAGAGAAAGAGTATCAAGGATGACTTCTGGGTTTCTGGATTTTGCACCTGGATTGGTGGTTTGCTATTTATGGAGACAGGAAATCCTAGGAGAGGAGCAAGATAGTAGGTGATGATTATGTGTTAAATTTTGAACATGTTAAAGTAGAAGTACCTTTGAGATGTCTAAGTGTCAGTGCATCTGGAACTCAGAGGAGGGGTTAGGGCCAGGGCTTTGTGTTAATTCAGGCTAGTCCTTTGGTGTTCAGAACTGGCCTGAATCCCTAGACCATTTCTGAAGATCAAAGGACTATCCTGAATCTGCGGGAAGATTGGATATAGTTTATTCCC